CACAATGAGATAGCACCTCACACTTGTCAGAATAACTCATTAAAAAGACAGGAGATAACAAGTGTTGACAAGGATCTGAAGGAAAGCGAACCCTCCTGCACTGTTAGTGAGAGTATAAGTTGATTCAGCCACTATGGAAAATAGTATTGAGGGTCCTCAAAAAATTAGCAGTGGAATTACCACATGATCCAGCTTGAAATGTCCACTTCTGGACATTTATTCAAAAAAATTTAAATTAAGATCTTGAAGAGATATCTGTACTCCCACATGCATTATAGTATTATTCACAAATAGCCAAGACATTAAAATAACCTCAGTGTCCATCAATGGAAAAATAAAGAAAAAAAATATATGAAGAATTCCAAAGATATACAATGATTGTTATCCAGCCATAAAAAGGAAAGAAATTCTTCCATTTTGAATAGAGTATATGGACATTGGGGATATTATGCTGAGTGGAATAACGTAAAGACAAACACTGTATGAGCCCATTTATGTTGAATCTGAAAAAACAATCCACGGAAATAGGCAAGAGACTGGTGGTGGCCAGAGGTGAGAAGTGAAAGGCTGGGGAAATGGATAAATGGAATCAAAATGTACAAACTTCCAGTTACAATGTAAGGAAGTTCTGGGAATGTTATGTACAGCATGATGACTATAGTTAGCAATACTATATTGTATATTTGAAAGTCCCTAAGAGAGTAGATCTTAAAAGTTTTCATCACAAGAAAAAAATTGTAGCTATGTGAGATGATGGATGTTAATTAAACTTATTGTGGCCATCATTTCACAATATATATATACATAGAGCAGATCATAATGTTTTATACCTTAAACTAACACAATCTTATATGTCAATTATATCTCAATAAAACTGGAAAAAAATAAAAATGCCATTATACCAATAAAAAAGTGGGAGGGATACTTAGAGTTTTGAGACATTTCTGAAATCATTTCTCAGGCTGACTTTCTGCAAAGAAAGTCGAACCGAGGTAGAAGAAAGCAACTATAACAAATCAAAAATGGTAAGCTTCTTTATTAACAACAGATCTCTTCACTTCATTTTAGGATGAAAGTAGCTAAGTCTATACAAACAACCTCATCCCACTCACTGTCAAGCTTGAGATTCACCAGGACTATCTCTGGGGTAAGAGCCAAGACTGGTCACAATATAGAAACATGAATCGTGAATCCCCATTCTCTGAGGAATGGAGGAAGAATTGATAGTATCCTTCAAATGATTCTCCAAACCCCAAGTGCTGATTTATTGTGATGCTTGCTTTTCTTGGAGTGCCTACAACAGTTTTAGAGGAAATTTCTTTCCTGTCTTTTCTTTATGCTCCCCAAAATGTCCCCGCACTAACTGCACACATTTATCCCATGGTCCAGTGACTCCGGCTGGCCACGCTGCTTCTCTTCCCACGGGAGCTTTGCCCTCCGGTCCCTGCAATTAGGATAGTTAAGGGAAGGAAAAGACTAGGAAAAAAACAAAGGGAGTTTACAAATAAATATGTAAGAATTAAGACTCTGAACCACAAAAATTCAAAATCACCATTAAAAATGTTAGACAACGGTAAAAAAATTAAGACTGATATTTTTTTAATGCTACAAATGCAAAATTATTTTTAAAAGTCATATGATTACTGTTGCTCTAAGGACTTCCTTAAAAAAAATCACTAAACTATATGCTATTATCAACACAATTGAAAATAGCTTCAGTGTGACCTATTTGCAGACTGGTAATTCTCTATATGGAAAGGACAGACAGGACAGATAACTCGGCAGTGTGACTTACTCCAAAGTAATAGCCCTTACCAGATGATAGTGTCACTTGCCACACAGGAAGTGAAGACGTGGCAAAATTTTCACTGGGTAGTTTCCTTTGACTGTTTACATTACAGTCAACTATTTTGTGAATGATAGGAAGTATAAATTTAACTATGCTGACAACTTTTTGAAAATGTACTGGGTCTGCAACATTTTTCTAGCCAAGTGACCTACTGACCCATTGAACTCAATATGGCAAAAACATCATATTGTTAAGTCAACCATAAATAAATTAATGAGTTACATTCATTCACTCACCATTTTTAAATCATACTTGTGATTTTTTCCCCCATTAACCAGCTCCTTCCCCTGACGCCTAACTTCCCCATTTCTGTCCCAGAACCTTCTGTGAACACACTGACCAGGGTGGCAGAATAAGCTGATTTCCCTTCCTCCTTGGCCCAGTGGGTTCAAACCTCATAGCATCCCCCTCCTTGCTTCTCTTCCATCTGCCCCTTGGTTACCTCCCAAGCTTAGGTCTCATCCAGCTCCTTATTTTTATTCTATAGCATGCACATGGCCTCCTAAATATTTCTTTGCTTTGTCAACATTATATCCTTCCAGGGACTACAAACAGAGAGAGCATTACTCAACCTGGCACTCAAGGGCTTCCACAATAAAGCTGTGCCCTATCTGCCTCCTGGTTCACTGGCCTTCCCTACTTCAACAGACTGAAAATGCCATGTCTTTTTTTTCTTACAATACTCTCTACCCTGCTTACCACCGTCTGGCCATGCTTTCCCCTCTGCTTGGAATGGCCCTCTTACCTCCATACCACACACTCGTCACCACCATCGGAGTCGGTCAGCTATCCTTTGAAATATTTCCTATCATCCTAACAAGATATAATATTGCCTCTTTCGAGAGTCTGTGGTGCTTGGTCCATTCCTTTGATTCCTGCCTTGTAGTATATTTATTCATTTATTCAAATGCTGCATTTTCCCTGATTTACTAATAAACTCCTTGGTACCATTCCTTATTTTAGAATTGAAACTGATAGGGCTTATTCAGTTCATTTGTGTTGAAAGGATGAATTAAAGATGGAGAAAGTTTTATCACCTGCTCTTCACAAGCAAGTTGTCAAACTTCCTATTGATATGAAATTGAGAAATGCTTAGGAGACAAGTTAGTATTCCTAAATATTACATAACAAGTAAACGTATGTAAAGCCATTGTGTAGCAGGATCTAGGTTTCAGTCAGTTAAAATTAGTTAAGCACACTTTGGATCCAAAGAACAATTTGACAAATGATTTTGAAAACACCAACTGGATAAACACAAAACAACACAATATAGTTTTATTCACATAGAAGGTTGTTTTGAGATAATCAGCTGGCTGTTCATAATGTATAGGAAAATACTGTTTTCACAAGTTTTTAAGTGAAAATATTTTTCCTTATCTAAACTTTTATCTGTATGGAGCATGCACCAAACAAAAATTTTCCTGAAATTTTTGTATAGTTATTCATGGTATAAAAGCACAGTACACTGCTGCTCATATAAATAACAACAGCTCTCATATTTTCCAGTTTTATACCTTCTTGCTGAGGGGAATTTAAGGAGCCATTAAGCGCAGTGCTGTTTCAAGCACATCAATGCCTCACCAGCGCAGGAATACATATTAGAAATGCAGAAAAAGAAATAGGTAAGAAAGCAAGGAGGGAAATAATTATGCCCCGGTACTAAACCAAAGGTAAAACTGAAGAGCATTCATTAAAATCCTATGAAACTAGTAAGGTCAGTTTTAAAAATTGTTTATTTCAAGATAGATAATTTTCTATGATCCATGTGAACAGGGAGATTCACATGGAAGAGATTATCAAAATAGCAGATCTAGAAGTTACTACTTTTTATCCCAGAAATACATTGTTTCATTTTCTTTCTTTTTTTTTTGTACTTTAATTTGCCTTCCTAACTAAGTAAGATTTAGGATAATATTATATTTAGTTTGACTTTCCTGAGCCCTCTCCAAGTGGTAGGAGGAAGTTAATCCATAAATATGTTAGTAAAAGATAATATTTTTAAAAAAACACTAAAAATTACCCATCTTGAATGAGGAAAAACAGCAGACTTCTACACCAAGTCTCTCAAAATGGACAAAAAAATGTATAATTAAAATAAATTAAATCCATGTGGGATAAAAGCAGTAAAATACACTTCCATAATAAAGGAAGTTCTCAACTCTGACCCAAGAGGGTCTGGGAAAAGTCTCATGAAATTCTTGTCCTTAGCATATACTTGTATTGTTAAACACATTCATTTATTCCAAAGACTGATCCATAACACACAAGGCACCACAAAAGGTAACTAACGGCACCTGTTTTCTGATCCCGACTCCTGAGAGCAGAAGGAAATTTTCCTTCCAACACCTGAAGTGGTTCGCAAATTTGCAATAATAAAACCATTTTTAAAAGATAAGTCATGCCAGAATTTTCCTTTTTTCTACCTAAGATTCCATAACTAAACTAATGGAGTAAAGCTCTATTGAGATTAATCTCTTGTCAGTGTACTTAAAACCAGCCAAGTGGCAGCATTTTATGTTGACAGCCAAATGCCAGCTATCCTAGATCAAGGTTTGCAAGTGCAAATTTTTTCATTCCCCCCATTCTCCTTTTGACTTAAGAGAAATTTGAACTGAGTAGCTGGCTGGTAATATATGTAATGATACTCAAAGCACACATGTGAAAACTTGAATCAAGTATCATGAAAGGCAGAGTCAGCTGAATTATAACTTTTTGCCTAATATAAATATGGCATACAAAAAATATATGAATAATTGTATTAAAAATACAGACGACTGGGCTTATAATAAGAGCATATCAAGGTGTTAACCCCTCATTCCATTAAATCACCCCAATAGTGTGGTGTTGAAAGAGGGCATATAGAGAGTCTGGCACAAATAATGCCCCTGTTTTATTACAAAATCTTTTATTATAAAATCATAAGTATGTAATTCTGCAACAAAACCATATCACACTCAAACACACCATATGACATTTTAGGTGAAATGTTCAAATTGACACTAAATTATTACACCCATATTATTACTCTACCAACCACATTCAAGCAGGCATTACTTCTGCCAGACCCTGTATATGAGTGTTAATATATTATGTATCATGGCTCATGTATGATGCAATTATTTATACAGGAAAACAGAACATGGATCCTTACCTTTTCGAGCATAGCATTGCCTTGATGAGGACTGATATTGTGCTGGCTTATTTCTCTCTTATATTTATATTCATAAACTTGGTCAGTGATGTTAACCAGCAGAGTTGATGGACTGAAGGCCAGTTTCCCACAATCATACACAGTTCCACTTTCAATATCAGTTGGTGCCGTGGCATATCGTAAGATTAATCCCATAATGAGGCCTAAAATAAAGAATAAATAATTGCACTGCAGGAACACAGTCTAAAATGTTCACTGTGGCATGTTTTTAAATATGTGTCTTGGAACTTGTAGAAGTAGTGGGAGAAAGAATTGGGCCATTGCCTGGTTTATAGAATTGTTCACTCTTTCATAGACACCAGTTCAATAGATTGTATCATTAAAATATTTGTGATGGACACTAATGCTTGAACATCAGGCATATATTCTCCCCTTTTTTTTCTTCCTAATGGACCCATACATTTTGGAGAGAAGAGTTATCCACTTTTTCTACCCACCCAAGTGCTTCAAGAAAACCTTTGCTCTGTGACAGATACCACATAATCTAATCAGTTCGGAGATGGGATTCCACTGGGGAGAGTTCTGGCTCCCTGATCAGTGTATATCTCAGGCAGTCCCATCAGACTAAAAGAAAGCACTTATGTCACTGGGGGAGCAATGTTCTTGTTCTTGTTCTCTTCCTGAGGACATGACCAAGGCAATAGATTTCCTTATTTTTTGCTTAATATCTTGTGACCTTGAGGGGATCCCGTCCAAGGACACGGTAAATATACTGAAGAAAGTAGGCCTGATACACAGACAAAACCCAGTGTTGACTTAAGTGAGCCACTGGATCAGCCTATCCTAGAGCTAGTTCTAGACCTTTTGCTATGTGACATAGCTTATTCTCTAGGTTTGCAAACAATATTGAATGAAGTTTCAGCTTACTCATAGACAAATGCATTCTAATGACTACACTCCTTTTAGTAAAGAGTGAAACCCAAGTAAAAGATCTTGGCTTTTAAATTTATAAACTCTGTTCAGATGCTCATGGTAATCTGGTCACATGAATGCTCTTAAGATTATGGATTTATTAATAAGAAAAGAGAAATTTCAGAGGACTACACATTACTCCATTTAAAATTAGATTGATGTATGTGTTTTAACATAAATCTACTCTTTTAAGATAAAGGTCACACTTTAAAACATCCAGTATTGGAGGTTTTATCACCCTCCTTTGATTCTTCTAATAACTTTTCGTTACTTAATAAAACATTTTTGGGTGTGTATTTTGTGCCAGACATTTACTAATTTAAAATAAAAATACAGTCTCAGTCCTATAGGAGCTCAAATTTGTAAAATAAAGACCCATACATAAGCAAACAATTGTAATACAATGTGATATGTGCTTTGACAGCTGGTAAGCACCCTGCATTATATGAGCATAGAGTGGAAACACTCCAAAGCCATTTGAATGATGCATAGCTTCAGATGGATCTTAAAAGGTCACACACAATTTGTCCAGGTGAGCTGTTTCAGGGAATGAGTTGGGATTCAGGCTGCACATGTGCGTGGTAGCACAAGCATAACAGTGAGGAAAGCAAGAAGCGGCCCAGGATTTATCTTCTCCAGTGTGCAAAAGAGCGGCTGAGAAGTGACTGCGTGGCCAGAAAACACGCTTCCTGGCTGTCTCGCATCTGGTTGGGTTCTCAGCAATGGAATTTAAGCAAAAGTGATATGTGCTGCTTCCGGGTCACAATATTGAAGAAGCAGGCGAGTTTTCTCTCTTTTCCCATTTATTAGATGGATAAGGAGTGAATAAAGGCACTTGCTCTGAGACACCAGGTTGGGGAAAGCCATCTACCAACCAGGAATACATGCACTGGACTCTTATGTGAATGAAAGTTAACTTCCGTTGTATAGTCACTGAAATACTAGTGTTTCTGTATTAACAGGCACTAGGATAACTTAACTAATATAACATATAAATACAGAGGGACTTAAAAACCCAATGGATTTAGGAAGTTAGTAGTGGTGTAAGGAGAGGAGAAAAATTGAGGGAGGGAGAGAGAGTAGAGGGGAGAAATTCTAGACTGTAGACCATAGTCAGGGGCTAGGTCAGCAAGGCTCCTCTCTCATGCTAAAGTTTTTAGTTTTAATCCAATGGCAATATAGAACTATTGACAGATTTTAGGCAGTAGAGTAAAACAATCAGATTTCCATTTAAGAACTACCACTTGGGCAACAAGGCAGAGAACTAATTACAGTGAGAGGCGAAAATGAAAACAGATTTCTTTCAAGAATATTTTTACTGTAGTTAATTGTCAGTATTTAGCCCATTTTTCCATAATAGTGCAAAATATTGTATCCTAACCTTTATTAGCAAGAGAAAATAAGGAATGGATATAATCTGCCATGAGTGTTTGATATGCTCTGGACGTGGGCAGCCTTCCATGAGCAGCGTCAATGACTATAGTAAGACTAGTCAGGAAAGACAAGGGAAGACACAGCACCTACCCACACTGCAAGTGCTTTAGGGCGCCTGGGTAAGAACATCACTTTCCCAAAACTTTGCCCATGAAGGATTCATTTTTCTAAAAGTTATTTGGCAGGTACCATGGATGATACCAGGCTTCTGTTTTCCACTCACGTGGGAGATAAAGAAGGGCAGCACAAGAGGCCATCCGCGTGGGGACTGACTGGAAAGAACCTGCATTAATACCATTCTCAGTTCCCACAGGGAGAGCCACTCATTTTTGCAATATGCTTTCAATTCAATAACAAGAAGTAAATATGAAGCCTCCACTTTCCCCCCTGCCAAGCAGGGAAAACAAGTAGTTGTCACAATACCTGGGACACTGTGGCTAAATTCATACAAGGCCTCAAAACCTGAGTGGCCCAGTCTGGCCCCCTGCAGCAGCCCTGCAGCTGCCTTCAAGGAGAGGTGCCCTGTGGTAAATGAAGTCAGTTGCTTGCTGCCAGAGGCCACCTGATGGAATGGCCATGAAAATGCACCTGTCAGACAGACCCCCCACTGTGAGGAGTGCAGCTGACCATGGTCTCAGCTTCTGTGCTCGGGAATCCATGCCCACATCCCCTCTGAGGCCAGCCACAGACTGAGTGAGCAGGGGTGCTAAGGCAGGGCGACGGAACTCCTCCGAAGGGCCACCCATGGCCCAGCGATGCCCAATCAGCCTTGCCCAAACTTCCTTCGAGCTGCCCTGCAAACTAAACCTTCTCCCACCAGCCTCCTTCCCTTCCCTCTCTCCACAGGCTGGGGCTGCACCGAGGTCTGACAGCTCTCCTGTCGCTCACACGCTCCCTCCCTATTTTCCTGCTAAGGTATATCCCCCAATAAATCTTTTGCACAATGAATCTCTTCCCAGCATCTGCTTCTTAGAGAATCCAAATTAACACACTGGACAAAATGCTCAGGCCCTGCTTCTGCCCAGCCCCAAAGGCGGAGAGGAATCATCATCTTGGCAGAGTGTGAGGAACCATGGGGAAGCCACCGCTTCCCATGCACCCATCTGTGCGCCTCTGCTTCAGTGGCAGTAACCCAAAAATGCCTGATGTCACAGGCCAGCCACCTACCCATAGAGCCCCTCCACTCAGCACTTTAGCCATCTGCTGACACAAATATGAAGTGTTGGGTGACCAACTCCCCGCTAATATAGGAGAGCAGGTGACAGGTAAAGTGGAATTGCCAGTAGGAAGAAAACGCTAAGAGTTGTTTTTATACTCACAAAAAAGCTACAGGATAAAGAAAGCCCCAACCATTCAGGAACAAAAGAGGGAAAGAAGAGCCTGGCTTCCATGGCCTGTAGACACGAACCACCGCTCCCACTGGTGAGTCATGAATCAGAATCCTACCTGCTCAGGAGAAAAGGAGAAACCTGGCCTGGCACAGCAATGCCACCCAGCACCCACGCGCACAGCCCTGGTCCCAGTTCATACTCCCACAAGCGTGACACTTCACTGAGCTCTTTCCCCAGCCAGCGGGTGGCATCACCTTCTCCAGACAGAACCCAAGTCCAGATGCATCCTTGGCCCCACAAGTCTGGGCATTTGAGAAGCTGGAGTAACAACAATGTGGACCCGCCCCTTCGTGAATCCCAACGTGTCTCCAACAGCATCCAGCCCGAGGATGGAGCTTCAACAATAGACCTCGTCCCTGAAGCACTCCCATTCCGCACACACCATCTCAGGTCCCATCTGCAGGGCCAGGCTCTGATATAGCCTGTCTCTGAGCTCCCTCGTCTTTGAGATCTTAACAGCACTCACAGCGGGAACCACGCCCCTGAGGGCCTGATTCTATAAAGACGCATTGTTTAGCATTGCTGTGCAGACCTTGGCTGTGTCTCCCCACTAGACAAAGAAACTGCTCGGGCAGACACTCTATGCTGTTCTTCTCTTTCCTCTAGAAAAAGCTAAACACTTAAGGTAGAATTATAACCCAACTTTCTCCAAGTTCACAAACTCCCTTGGAGTCAAGAAGAATAGATCCTTTGAGTGTGTGTAGTTAGGCAGTGACCAATATTTGAAAATGTCCTTTGTGAGGAAGATCACACCCAATGCTGTGATGCTCCCATCCTTAAAGGGCTTGCCACGTAGCTGTCTTAGGAGCTGCCTGACAGGCAGCGACAAGGTGATGTTATGGGATGGGGAGGAGGGAGGGAGGGATGATGGGGAACTGGCCTCACCAGCACTCTGACAGAGAGGCTTTGAGAAACACGAGCCTTGCCCTTCTGGACCAGCTCTCACTTCATGGCCACAGCGGAAACTTGAAAAAACTCTACTCCCACCCTCCTCATGCTTTCACACCACATACACACAAGGTATTGCTCTGGGACTGCGAGAGTTACTGAAACAAATAAAATATGGCTTTGATCCTAAAATATTAAAATATTCTAATGCTACCATCCCTTTTCCTCTTGCTGAATCCTGTGATCCTGACTTCCGGGAAGAATAAAGTACAAGGCCGTACTAAGTCTCCTCGTATACTAAGCCTGCAGTTCAAAACTAATTCCCCATAGAATGGACAGTCATTCATGATGATATGAAGCATCTTCCTAAAGGGGTTTTCTGAGAGGAATACAGGTGGGGATTTCCTTAAATACGTAATGATATTTAATAGTAATTATATTTATAATTACTGAAACAGATTTCAAAAAGGTTTTTAAAACATAGAGTGTTAAAATCTCTGGCTCTGTTGAAAACTTGT